CCAAGCGTGGAGTCCTTTCCTAGAAAGAGCGAGGCTGTGTTTAGCAGGAAGGAGTGTTCCCCCTTCTTTCCTAGGGGAGGACAGCCCTGCCCCCTGACTTCTGGTCAAGTCAGAATAAAACATCATTCTTAACCTCCCCATTCTCACCCACGGTGAAGGGAAGGGGAGCTTCTGAAGGATATACAGGGCAGCCTGAACTCAGGGGATCTCCCTGTAAAACCCAAGCGGCCTACTCCAYCAATCATAGCAGTTCAGCAGTCATGGCCTCCCTCCCACTTCCTGAGTCCCCACAACCATTACCTGGACCTGGAGAACTCAATCCCTTGACTGCCAGCTCAGCTTCACCTCTCTCTGGAACCAAGGGCTGCATCTGCATGGGAGAACCCCAGAAAGGAGTTGGGGAGGGAGCCCAATAGCTGAGGAAGAAACCTGGGGACTCACTTGGGCAATTCTCAGACATGGCTTTGGCTCTCTGAGAACAGCTATGGACCAAAGGGTGTGGCCCTCCCCAGCCCCATTTTACCAGGGATAGCTCCATGTCCAAGTCCATCAGGGTCCATTCTCGCCCTGGAAGGCTGGGGCCCAACACCTGGGAAAAGTTCTGGGTTAGTGCTTGCCCTCTCAGGCTATGCAGACAGCAGGAACCAGAAGTGCATGTGCTTCTATGCCAGAAGTACTCACATCTAGGGGTGCTGCAGGCTCCACACTTTCAGGGGGAGGCCGAAGCAGCATCGAAGGCAGCAGACTCTCTGGGCTTCTGTTACCCTGCTCCAGACCCAGAGGTCCCCTGTGCACAAAAATCTGCTGTTGGCCTGCAGTGCTCACCCCCTATTAAGTTCCCAAAGAACCTGGATGCAAGAGGATTTAAATCCCCCAACATCTAGAAAATGCCACTCTCCTTTCCCCATAAATGGACACAGAGTGTCCCTGCTTCCTCTAGGACTTGAAGTCTTAGGACAGATTCTCTCTTATGCAAGTATAAATACAAGGGGCTCTTAAACTACTGTGTATATTATAATCATCCCATTGAACTCATTTAAAAATGTGGATTCCTCAGTCCTACCACAGAGGAGCTGGGTGATCTGATTAGGAGTTCCTACTTTGTTTAGGATTTGTATGTAGGTGCTCCTTGGAGCACATTCTGAGAAATCATAAGTGCCCAATATCCTCCTCAGCCACCAAGGGGCAGACAAAGTAGGGAAGTTTCATGGGCCAGAGTGTTGTTCTATCTGCAAAAGTGGCCTGCAGGACTCACCTCAAGAATGGGCTCTGCTTACCTGTCAGGTACCTCCCTGGGGCCCCTTGGTTCAGGCTGTTGGACACTCCTGGGCCCCTCAGGGCTGAAGCTCCCTTTCCCTTCCAGGATGGCCTGTACCACAGCCACAGGCAGCGGTGGGGGGGCTGTCACGCAGAAGTCACACTCGTTTGGGGCCAGGGCCAGCCCGGCCTCGCCATCCCCCCCTGGACTGGCCGGCTCTTCTTTGAGCAGTGCCAGGCCCTTCTCCCTGTACCAGAGAAAAGCTTCAACCAGACCCTGGCACTGACCTCTCCCCCACCCCTACAGCCATCTGGGCTGCCAGGCCCTCCCAGACAGGCTCCCCAGAGGGCAGCCCCTGTCCTCCTTACCTCCTGCCACCACTGGAGGGAGAAAGCCTGGGCCCTTCAGGGGATGGAGAATCTTCTGGGATATCAGAGATGATGGGGCCCCTGGCCCTGTGAGGGCTGAGGCCCAAGGTAGTCTCTGGGAGGGGCTGTAAATAGAAAACTAGACCCAGTCCTTGACCTCTACCACTGGGAAAGCTAGAACCCAAACAGCACCCATCTGGACTATAGGGCCTAAGGGGCAGGGTGTGAGGGGGAAGGCTCAGTCCATGCTGGGGAACCTGGGTCTGTTTGGTGGGAAGGTTGGCTTCCATCTTCTYTGGGGGGAAATCGGGAGAAGAAACAGCTGTGCTTTAGAGAAAGGGGAAAAAGAAACCTACCGACTGGATAAAGTAGGGGTCCTGCAGGAGGGCACCAGGCAGGGAGCAGGCATTGAATTTGGCAGGTGTTGGGCATGAGTTCCCCTCATCCAGCATCAGAGACCTATACAGGATGATCAGGGTCCCTCAGGGTAGGGGCAGCGTCAGTCCCCATGCCCCTCAGCCTATACTTCCCTCCCTCTCTCCCTCCCTCAGGCCCCAGCAGCCAAGTCAGCAGAGCTGAGGCYTGTTGCCAGGGCATCAGTCACATGCTAGAGTGGAAGGGGCTCCCCCCCAGAGATGGGGGCCCTTTGGGGGTAGAGGAGAGGGAGGGAGCATGGTTTGAGCCCCAAGCTCTGCAGTTGGGATGTTTTGGGGGGAGGGGAAGGGATTGCTGGTGTGGGAATTTGGAGGTAAGGTCCTGGGAGTGGAGTACCAGATTGTGGTGTTGGGGGAGGGGGAAAAGTTCCAGATGGGTTGAGGAAGCTGATGTGCAGCCAGGAGTGGGATTGAGGGTTCTGCCTGAAGGAGTTTCTGGAAGAGAAGGGGTCCCTGCCAGGGGTCTTAGGCAGAGAGAAGGTCCTGAAAGTGGAGAATTGGGGGTGAGCATCCTTGGCTCTCACTCACAGCTTTCTCTTTGTTCCTGCACTACTGGGCCCAGCCTGAAGTGGTCCAAAGAGGCACTGGATCAGCTGAAGAGGAAGAGAAGGGCTTATTCCTATTTTGGACACCCCCCTCACCCTAACAGGCAGTTCCAGGTGGGTTTGAGAAAGGGACTAATTTGGATGCTAGAGGACTGGGTGTAGAGGGGTGCCCAGGAGTGAGAGGGAGAAGGGAGGTAGAAGAAGAGGAACACCTTGCCAATGACCCGGTGCTGCTGACCATGGCTCTGCCGAAGTGTCACCACTTCCCGCCACAAGATCTCGTTCTGCCTAGGGGCAGGGGTGGGAGGGTGCTGAGGCATCTGAGTTCTCTGACACTCTCCCTCCCAAACACACACACACACACACACACACACACACACACACACACACAGAATGGCACGGCAGGGAAGGGACCCGGGTCACTACCCCAATAATCATCCACCTGATTGAGAGTCTAGAGTTCCACAACTGGGCCCATTTGTCTGGAAGGAGAGCTGAAGGGGCTGCCCAGAACCCTCTGGTGGCCAGCATCCTCTCACCCAGAACCTCCCACCAGGGCCGCCCCTCCCCCGCACTGCCTGAGCTCCCGAAGCCGCGCCTCAGTGTTCTCCTGCACTCCCCGCAAAGCCTGCACCTCGCCCAGCAGCCGACCAAGGTCTTCAGGGCGCCAGCGACCGTCATCGCTGCGCAGCGCGGGCACCTGCAGAAGGTACACCGCAGAGGCAGAATCTCATAGAACAGGGCCAGCAGTCCTAACACCCCACGCGGGTTTACTCATTTCTGCTCGCTGTCCCTACCTTGCGCCGCACGCGCTCCAGTAGCTGCTCCCTGCCACGCACGAAGCTCGGGTGCTGGAACTCGACGTGGTCGCGCTCCGGCCTGAGCAGGCCACCCTGCTCGATGCTCACTACCTTCCGAAAACCATCTGGAGAGTGGGGCGTGGGGGGCGGGGGTGAGTCGTTCCATCTTTGGCACCAAATCACCCACACCCTGTCCCCACCCGGCCTGAGGGACTCACACATGTTGAGTTGACGCACAAAGCTCGCCATGTTGCTGTGCTTGAAATACTGGGGCAGCACTTCTTTGGCGAAGCGGCTCTGATCGCTTACAAGGAAGCTGGTCCCACTCTACCGAGAATGCCGCCCACCCGTGGTGCGGGTAGAGACCAGACTYGGTGAGTGGCGCCCGCCCACCATCAGGCCGGCGCTCTAGCGCGCACACACTCATTCACTCAGGGGTCAGTGCCGCTCATGGGAATATGGAAAGGCCGGGCCAGAACCACCTGAGGCCCGGCTCCGGACGACCACAGTGAAACCCTACCCCTAGCGTAACCCAGACTAGGTTCTCAAAGAGGAGTAGCAGAGGCCAACCCTGGTTCCACCTCGGACCGGTCCCAGACCCGAGCCAGAGCCAGAGCCACGATGTGACCCTGATTGAGCCAGTGCCAGCCCTCCCTTCTCTCGGTCTGTTTTCCGATCTGTCTATGGGGTGGGGTCATTTCATTCTCATTAAATGACCTAGGAGATGCCTCTGGCTCCAGGTCTCCTGGAGGTTCCTAACCCTTCCTCCGCCCCAGAGGAAGTCGCCTCATCTTCATCTCACACATCCCCTCCAAGGTGAACTACCCTGGACGGCTGAATCGGAGTGACCCACAGCCCAGTCCCCGGCTGGGGTTGAGTGGGCGTGGGTGTTCACCGACGTGGAGGGACCCCGGGGACCACTGGGAGAGTCGAGGGGCCCCAGCCCTCACCGGGCTCCAGCGGATCAGGTGGTCGGTGCCGGGGTCGCCCACCAGCGCCCATAACTTGCCGAGGAAGGCAGGTACAGGGCTGGGGCCTGGCTCCGTGGGCAGCGCGGCTGGCGCTTCCTGCATGGCGCAGTGTCGGCCCGGCTCAGCGCTGCGGCCCGGCCGCTGCGGGCTTGTCAAAGCCGTGAAAGTGCTGCGTTTGCCTCCCGCCCCGCCCTACTCCGCCTCCGGGCGCCGGGTCAGGCGGGGGCCACGTGCGAACCCGCGGGGCGGGGCTCGGACAGCGGCCGGGGCACCAGCAGACAGAAAGGCTGGCTGAATCGGATGTGTGTGGAGGGATGGGGTGAGGAGGGAGACCTGGGTTCGAATCTCATCTTAGTCTCTCTATTTCCTTTATTTGGGAAAAATAGCYCGTGTGCGGCCTTTTTACGATGAACTAGGAAAGTCCTAGTGAAGCCCCAGATAGAGCGGGCCGATAAGATAGTGAGGAAGCTAGACCTTTCCCGCCTAACGCTGGGGCATTGTCAATCCAAAAGGGCGAAGTGCCCCGCCCCTGACTCCCGCACCCGCAGCCYCATCTTGCACCTCTGCCCAGACGGCTCTTTCTCGGTTCTGCGCGTTCCTCATCCTCCCCTTCAGAACCTAGCCCGCCTTTCACCGGATGCAGAGATACTGTAGGATTTGTTTATTTCAAGCTCACCCCTAAGGCCGGGCCCACACCCGTGCCAGCCCTCCCCCATGCCGGACCGCAGAGCTGGCATGGAGCATGCAGAAGAGCTGGGGGACCCCAGTACGGCCGGGACAGAGCTGGCGTCTGCAGAAGTTGAGTGGACTCAGGGCACCTGTGCTCTACCGAACCGACACCGTGCCACTGGTCCCAAGAGGCACAAGAGACATGGAATTCCAAGGAAAGAACTGGCAGTTTGAGTGTGCTTGGGAAATTCCTTCCAGCGTCTCCGAGGCCTCAGGTTTGAGGGGAGGGAGGGTTTGTCCAATCACCGCACGAACGTGGGCCGCCAAGGATGTGGCTCACGCTTTAGTTTGAGCGTGTAGCTGCGCAGGCGCGGGCAGTGCGCGCGGAAGGCGTCCAACACCGATGTCCTCACGACGCAGAAGCAGTGTATTTCACGCAGGCCCGCGCAACGCGCCGCCAGCTCCTCTAGCGCAGTGTCCAGCTCTGATGAGGCGGAGGCGCGCACCTCAAGTGCGCGCAAGGTTGTGGCGTAGTGGCACGCGGCAAAACGCAACGGACCTATAGTGTCACCTGAGAGGTTGAGACGCAGTGTAGCCACGGGTACTGCAGGTTGCAGGACTCGCATCACGCTTTCAGCTGGCAGTGCAGGCTCCAGCTCCAGCTCCACAGTCAGCCCAGGGTGGCGGCAGTACAATGCTGCCCAGGCTTGATCGGGCAGTGGGGACGCGCGTGCATCTTCAGGGCTCGCGCACCGCAGGGCCAGGAGTGCAAAAGGCGCGCGATCTGGCTCAGCCAGCGCATCGAGGACAGCGTGGGACAAGCTGGCCAAGTGCAGGCCAAGGGTGCGCAGGCGCGGGCAGGCAGCCAGTAGCTTGAGTATTGAGCCTGGCCCCACGCTGTCCACCAGCGTATGGTTATCTAGGAAAAGGCTGCGGAGTTCTGGACAGCCACAGGCTACCTGCAGCACCAGCGTGTCATCCAGTGTGAAGGGCAAGCGCCGCAGGTCAAGGTGGCGCAGCTCCCTGGCGGCCCCACAGAGGACATGCACAGCATCCAGGATGTCTCGGCCTGCGTCAAAGAGCGGTTTGTCTCCGTGGCACTCCAGGCTCAAACCTCGAAGACCTGGGGCACGGTCTGCCAGTGCAATCAGCAGCTCGGTGGCTGCCCGGCGACTCGGCTTCCTCGACGGCTCAAATTCCAGCTGTAGGTTGTGAATGTGGTCCAGGCAGACAGACAGATATGGCGGCAGTATGCCTTCCCATTCACTGTCACAACTTGGGTTAGAACAGTGAAGAAAAGGCGTTGGCAGCCTCATAACGACAGGGGAGAACACTCCACCAACCTCTCAATTTGTGTGCAAGCTGCCCTCCCCACTTCCTGTTCCCAGTGCACACACCTCTCCCTCTGCACCATGCCTTTGCCCCACGGCAGCAGCTGAAACCCTGTCATAGACAGCCAATATTTCAGGAACTATAGCTGTCCTAAGGAAGCACGTGGGCACCTTGAACTGCCAGGTTCAAATTTCACCTCTGCCACTCTATGGATGAGTGGCCATCGGGAAGTGATTTTCTTTGCCTCTGTTTCCTATCAGTGCAATAATAATACTGTCACACCAGGTTTTCATGAGGATTAAATGGGTTAATATATGAATCTTATGTATTGTTAATATGTGTTGATATGTAGTAGGCGGTCAATAAATGTTAGGTTTTTGTTGTTTTTGCGGGAAGTCAATAAATCTCCCTAATCCCTGACTTCACAGGGAAAGTATAAAAATGAGGAATGGCAGGGGACAGAAAAGCCCTCTCACCTGATGTTTGTGTCGTGCCACACTGCACTGCTGGTGGCAGCAGCTGCCCAGGCCCTGCAGACCCCAGCGACAGCAGCACGATCCCTGAGTGACAGGTGGCGGAAGATTAGAGCAAGCACCTCCTGGGGCAGTTGTTCTCCTGGCTCCACCATGGTGTGGCTCTGGGTCGGGGGCTCCACCACTTCCAACAGCTCCGGACTGGAGAAAGAGACAGGGTCATCCCTGGGCCCAGGAAACATCTGAGCCTGGGTGTAGAAATATTTGTGGACTGAAAGCCGCTACAAAATTTGCAGAACCCAGTACAAAATGAAGATATGGGATTCCTATTCACAACGTTAAGAATTTCAGAGCTGGGGAGGATCACAAGTTTAAGGCAAATAGCAATTTAGGGAGAACCTGTCTCAAAATAAAAGAAGAACTAGGGATATAGCTCAGAGGTAGAGCACTCTCCTAGCATGCCCTAGGTTCGAGCTCCAGCACCATAAATAAATAAATAAATAAATAAATAAATAAATAAATAAATAAATAAATAAGTTGCAAAATGTGGGGGCTCTGCCCCACTGCGCAGGTTTCAGGTTCATAAAGCCGGCCCTGGGTGCCAAAGCGTTTCTGGTTCTTTAAACTCTTTTTTCAATTGTGTAGTCACCAGGTGACTACACAGGTTCCAAGTTGAGAAACTTTGTCCAATCCCGCCAGCCACTAGAGTGACTAGGGTTAACCAGACGGAAGAATTCATGAAGAGTTTTGTCAGGGACAACGAGCCAATCAGAGAGCAGTGGCATGGGCGGGGCCCGGCGGGATCCACCCAGAGAGGGGAAACGTCTTTGCAGCCGGGGTCTAGCCCCGGAGTGTCCCGGGTGCTTTCTAAAACCGGCAAGACCTGCAAGGAAAAGCATGGGATCTGGGGTCAGATGGTTCTTGCCTCTGAGGAGCTGTAGTTCAAATTTGGATCCTGATCCTTGAGCAGCCCTGGCTCCCGCTTAGTAATTTGGAACTTCCTAGAGCCACCCCAGAGCGCAGCTTTTAGAGGGAAAATGTGCGTCCTCTTTTAAGGTGTGTGTGTGTGTGTGTGTGTGTGTGTGTGTGTGTGAGAGAGAGAGAGAGAGTGTGTGTGTGTGTGTGTGAGAGAGAGAGAGAGAGAGAGAGAGAGAGACTGAACTTACCACTAACCCCAGTCATTTTTATTTTTTGAGACTGCCTCGCTAAAATGCCCAGGCTGACCTTTAACTTGGGATCCTCCTGCCTCAGTTACCCGAGTAGCTGGAATTACATTTGTGCACCACCCCGCGCCTGACCTATGAAGTTGCCAGTTTTGTTTCAAGGTGCCTGAAGTGTTCTGTGCACATTTCACATCACTTGCTAGTATTTYCCCCGTATCTTCCAAGGTAGAGGTCTCTTCTGGAATACGTGTGAAGTGTACGCTGGGAATTGGATACCTAGGCCAGGTTTGTACCTGGGACCCATGGCACAGGGATTTTAGTGGGTTTAGTAGAGATCAGATTGTCAAACTAGATCCCCAGGGGGCACTAGAAAATTCTGATCACCAGGGGGCGTCTTCTTGTTGATCCACCAGGAATAGATGAAAGTCTGGCAGCTCTTACATTGCAGCCCTCCCCCCTCGTAAAAACTGCAAGTCCCAAAAGTCACGACCTGCGGGCAGTTCTTCCTGCCATCCAACCTCGGGCGCKGGTAATCTTACCTGCTCAGCGGACCAGATGGGCTTTGCCCAGAGACAGTGGACCGGCAGCAGAGAACAGCAGGGTGGGAAGGAGCTGCCTGGAAGGCGGGACACGGACGAACTGGGCGGCTCGAACGGGGGCACCGCCCCAGCGCCTCGGCGCACACCCGGAAGCGGCTCAGTGCAGCGGAGCCTGGCGGGCGTGGGAACTCAGGCCCGGCCAAGGCGGGCAGGTTAGTGCAGTTAATGGGTGGGCTTGCTGGTGTGGCAGGAGCAGAGGCTGATCCTGGCTCTCAAGCGTGGGCATCGCGCGGTTGTCACCGCGGCTGCTCTGGCCAGCTACTGCGGCGGCCTCTTGGGCTCTTTCAATGGGAGGCGGTGGGGAGTACGGAATGTGACCCTTGCAGGTTCCTTGCCCCAACCAAGGGCTTTTGCGGGGTGGCAGGGCCCTGAACTTGAGGGTGAAGGGAGAGCAGGGCTGGTCTGAACAGTTCTGTGAGCCGAGACCCCCGGGCACGTGCAGAATGAAGGTGGACTAGTAGGAACCGGGGAAGCTCCTGTAAAGAGGCCTGAAACAGCTAAAGAGCTCCCAAACGGGGCAGCAGATGAGTAGGGGGCGCGCCGGGCTGGTCGCCCAGAATTGCAGGCTTTCAGTCCTTGGGCCACTCTTGGGGGCTGTCCCTGCCGATCAGCCAGAGGTAGGGCTGCATGAGGACACATGTTTTGTGTTAGGGTGCGATGCCTGGTTGGCCTCTTGTAGTTGGCGCACTTTTTGATACTCAAATATCCATATAATGTCATCCAGATAAACCTGGTTACAGGGTCAGCCTGGAAGCCTAGGGCCAGCCTGGAAGCCTTGGCCCAGCCTGGAAGCCTTGGCCCAGACGGAGCAGGGGTGGACTCTTGGTGGGTGAGGCTCGGGGCTTCCCAAAGAGGGGTTTTCTGTGGAAGGACACGCAGGAAGGATGATTCCCAAAAGGAAAATCTGGAGCTCCAGCTCCAGCTCCAGCCAAGCAGACTTCCCCCATGTGCCTAGTACTAGTGTGTTGGGCATCGCCCCATCTCCAGGTTTCCAGTGCCTAATAGCAGGCCTGATCTGTTCCATTTTGTCCCTACTTATATCCTTTGAGGTGAAACTATGTTCATCAGGTCAGCATTTACTTCCAAGTCAGGGGGCTAGGAAGATATGAAAGTGGAAACATTTCCAGGGTCCGCTAGGCCACTTATCCAGGGCTCCCCACTTGTTTTGCCTCTTTGGCTTGCTCCCAACCTCTGTTGGCCCTACTTGTCATCTGCAGAGTTTTGAGTTTCATCCTGTTGTTTTTCTTTCTTTTTTTTCTGTTACTAGGGATTTATCACTGAGATACATTCTCACCATCTTTTTTTGGGTACTGGGGATTGAACTCAGGGCCACTCAACCACTGAGCCACATCCCCAGCCCTATTTTGTATTTTATTTAGAGATAGGGTCTCATTGTGTTGCTTAGCACCTCTGCTATTGCTGAGGCTGGCTTTGAACTCACAATCCTCCTGTCTCAGCCTCCCAGGCTGGAATTACAGGCATTCACCACTATGCCCAACCCCAGCCCCTTCTCTCTTCTCTCTCTATCTATATCTATATATCTATCTATCTATCTATCTATCTATCTATCTATATAAATTGTTAATGGACCTTTACTTTATTTATTTATATGTGATGCTGAGAATTGAACCCAGTGCTTCACACATGCCAGGCAAGTGCTCTACCATTGAGCCACAACTCCAGCCCCCCGCCAGTCCTATTTTTTTTTTTTTTTTTTGGTACCAGGATTGGATTCAGGGGCCTTGACAACTGAGACACATTCCCAGCCCTATTTTGTATTTTATTTAGTGATGAGGTCTCACTGAGTTGCTTAGTACCTCCCTGTTGCTGAGGCTGGCTTTGAACCCACATCCTCTTGTCTCAGCTCCTGAGCTGCTGGGATTACAAGCCTGCACCACTACGCCTGGCCCTCCATCCCTTTTAATAAAGACATTTACTTTGCTTTTTTTTTTAAACACAAAGGAAATGTGTCTTTATTTTATTTTTGGTGGTGAGAATTGAAGCCAAGGCTTGAACATGCCACGCAAGCACTCTACCACTGAGCTATAGTACCAGCCCCAAATGTTTCTATCTTACATAAAGTAGAAGATATTGCTGAATAAAATGAAACAAAAATTACCCCAGCCACTCCCCCAATCCTGATCTGTTAATTTTCAGATTACTGTTTTGGGTAAATACACAGTATTAATGTTTTAATTATGTAATGACTTGCATGGAGTGGGAACTCCAAAAAGTGTGTCCCCTGTGTTCAGACCCAGGGTAGGGCCATTGCCAGTTTTCATTTCTCTTGCCAGGGTGGGTAATGCTGGAGGGCCTAAATAGTGTTCTAGCTTTGGCCCTCAGGTTAGAGCCTGGGGAAGGTCTGAAGTGCAGCCTCTGCTCTCTGCCTTAACCTCAAGGATGTTCAAGGTTGTAGAGTTGGCTCCTCCTGGGACCCCCTCYCCTGAGGCTCCCTGTCTGTAAATAGAAGACAGCTGGGAATCCTCTTTCTGTCCTGCCCAGAGCTTGGGCTCAGCACCCTTCTGAACCTACTATCTGTAAATGCTGACAGAAAGTAAAGGAATGTGACTTATGGGATAAGGAGCTGGGGAATTGAGTTCATTTCTAGAAAGAGGGGGTATCCCCTCAGGTGAGCTGTCGGACTTGTCTCTTCCTGGGCCAATAGCTGGGAGGCCACYGAACAGAGGGTCAATACATTGGTTGCCTGGCTGGGAATTTTGCTTCCTGCCAGACTTTGATAGAAGATGACTGGAGAAGATGTTACTACTAAGGAGCTCTGACTATCTGGATAGGAATGAACCTACAATAGAATAATTTGAGTTGGAGAAGAGCCCAATTCCAAGGACTTATAACAAAGAGGGATGGTTTTTCTTACATACCTGAACAGTCCAGGCTGTAAAAGCTTCAGGGACAGCTGAATCCAGGGCCATAGAGTGGTTAGAAGTTCCCTTCTCCATCTCTTGGCTTTGTTTCCTTCTGTGTTGGTTTCATTCTCAACCAGGCTCTTTCCAAGCAATGGCAAAACAGACCGCCCCTTCCTTCAGTTTAGCCCCAGGGGAAAGGAAATTAGTACATCTTTCCTATTGATCCAGGCAGAGTTGCAGGGTTGATTCTCACTGGTCCAACTTGAGCCCTATTCCCCAARCCCAAACTAGAATAGTGAGAGAATATGCAGTTTGGTCAGACTTGCTTCATATGACCAGACCTGGACAGAGATTGAGAAAACAGAGGAAGAAAGTTCTTAGAGGTATCTTGGGATTGGGAGAAGGAATCTGGGTGGGATTAAACTGCAGGTTTCTTTTGAAGTGAAGCCAGGTGTAGTAGTGGGAAGGTAGATGAAATAACCTAAGGGTACGGCTGTGGACCCACAGGGACCCTGGGGACCCAAGTTTAAGTTGAAGGCAAGGCCAGGACCTAGGTCTGGTTGGCCTTGGGGCATTGGCACTATCCAGAATAGTCTCTTGTCAGTTTTGGTAAAAAAGACACTGGCCTGAGCTAGGATTGTGGCTTAGTGGTAGAGTGCTCACCTAGTAGATCGCTCACCTAGCACATGCGAGGCCCTGGGTTGGAGCCTCAGCACCACATAAAAATAAATAAATGAAWWAARGKWWT